ATTTAACGTAAATGGATTTTAACAATAAAATTTATCGATGAAAAAGCATTTAACGTTTTTCCACGATATAAATCTTCTTCATATCATAAAAAAAAATAGTCGACATTTTCTAAATCTTGCGTCTTTTAGCGAAATTTAGTAAAATAATTTCTTAAATTCTTAAATTCCAGAGACATTGTAATATTTCACGATCGATGCAATTTTTATTTTAATATCTAAAATTAATCGAGCACAATTACGTTGTAATTTCATGATACGGTGATTTTGAAATTAAATTTCTCAAATATTTGTGTGATTATCGCGGAATAACGATAATCAACATTAACATCAACACATTGAATTCGCGATATTTCGAGCGCTGACAGACGGATGAATATCGAAGGTATTTTCATTATCAAAACGCCCTCGTCCCGGGAAGGGCAGCCATATTGACGGCGAAGAAGGATGGTTCGGGGATTCTAATTTATTATCCCCTTGAGCTAGCCCACGGTCTCGTCGATGTAAATCCCAGCACGATCGATAGACACACCTCGACCGCTTCGACCAAAGGTGGAGGTTTATAACTAACTGGGGTGAAGGAACTCTTGAATCTCGCGCGACTGTAGATAGAACGGGAACTTCCTCGGCCTGTTCGTGTCTTAGCTGGCGGAGCGAAAACTTTCCGCGGAAGCGCGTACGTCTTTTCACGCTCATATATATTCCGCAATAATAAAATCGCGTGCTAGTCGATCTGCGCAGGACTTTGGAATTATATCTTCTAATAAAAAAATAGTTCAATTTTTTTTTTTTACTAAACGACGTTTCGTTTAATTTTCTGATTCGATTTCGAATTGGCATTTGAGTGGATATTTGTAAACACTCTGTTACAACGTGTGTTTTATAAAGAGGATTAGCAACCTCGAAATTTGCGTTATTTACGCGCCGGGGAAAAAATAGCTCTTCAAATTTGTTTTAAATAAACGATGCTGCATTTAATCTCCTGATCCAATTTCGAGTCGACGTTCATTTGATATAACATTGCAAATACAAAGTATCTATAAACGTATGTTTTTTATAAAGAGGATTTAGCAACTGCGAAATTTACATTTACAAAAATGATACAGATCTGAACATCGAGAAAGTCTCGAAAAAGGGCAAAAAATCGAGAGATTCTTCATTATTTAAAAGTTTTTATCATTTGAGCGAATGACTTATGTTAACTAATCGTTATATGTATATCATAGTACATTCATTGTTATATGTATCGTTAGTGTAAATAATGTCTAACAAAAGTGGCACAAAAAAGAGCAGAGAGCACTTAAAATTATTATATTAACTTGATAATTTCATAATTTATAGGAGGCGGATCCGTCCATGTGGTATAATTTTTAATTCGAGTGTCTCTCATATTTTGTGTTAATTTTAATCCCGGTCAGAATAACCGAGATTACTGTAGAAATTGCTGCTTTTTACGTGTACAGTACAATCTGCTCGGTCTTTAGCTTTCTAAGAAGAGAAAAAAGATTGATTAATTGCGACGACGTGCAAAACACGTTTGCAGCCGTATGAGATGAATTAACAGACCAACTGTCAAAATTAATTATCTCGCCAAGAGTCGCTCAGAATCACCGAAATCACGCGATCGCAATTAAGTTCAACGGTAAGTTTGTCTTGAGAAGCACTAACAGGGAAACGTACTCCTGAAAGCGTCGTAAAACGATGAATAAATAACTGCGCAGTAACGCAGCGACCCTGCGATTTGCTTTAAGATATCCGCGAAATTACTGCAATACTACACTAAAACGAATGACGCGATCTTCCATATACATTCATCAGAAATTCGATATACGATCATCGTAATAAGACACTTGATCAATGCATGAGACGCTGGTAGATTAAAAGGTGATAAATTGTTGTACAGAATTATAGCAACATTGAATCAAAGAAGAAAATTTTATAATCTATAAGTTTTGTCTATGTATAGAAGATACATTTAATTAAGTACAGTACAAACACCTATTTGGTATTCCATATATAGGCCGATTAATCTGACCGAATTGAATTTATACATGGTGGTCGGGGGTCACACAATGAAGGTAAACTGTCTTACTCTTTCGATACTTATTAATATCAAGCCGAAAGTACTATTAAAAGACGTTAAGAAACATGTTAAATATATCATAGTTTTCTCAAATTTGGATTAATGTTACGATAATTATCCATATATGTACATAGATAAGACATATATATAATTTTAATGTCATCGAGATTTAAGATTTTTGCATTAAGAACAATTGAGTATGGATTATTCTAAAAACTAGTATGTATAAGTTGAATTGCAACTAAAACTCCAGTTTTATTATAATCTGTACGTGATGGTACTCATTTGTGATGATAAAAAGTTAAAAAGTATGATAGGAGTATGTCTTAAGCACCGAAAAATCATATTTTAATGTTAATATTAAGTGTACTATTTGCTCCTGTGCTTTTTTCATTTCACAAAATATAACCTGTACATATTGAAAGTATAGATACGATCATAGCTCTATACATTGAGAGAAGAGGTCAGAATGACTAGTTTATTATGTTACAATGTAATCAGAATATTTTGATTTCAAATGTCTCATCTCGAGTATGTGTTTGATGTGATACTTTTATATATGAAAAGATTGTCTGTTGAGCTCTTGAATTATAGTTAAACTCATGTTTAACTACATATTCTTTTTATATCACGTAAAAATTGTATTATGTCTTATTTTTATGAAACTAAGGTAAAATCGAACATGTTTGTACTGTATGAATACTGTATGTATTCTTTGTATTAAATTTTCATTGTAATAGTTATTCATTGAGAATTGGACACAAGTTGGAACTCTTTATTTTCTCACTGCAGTGATATTGAATTGAAGGAAGAGGCCTATAGACGTCCTATGCTCCACATAAGGAGATAAAAGGAGTCGTATAATAAATTTATAAATATATTTAACAACCATTATTGCTCAATTTATTTCTTGACCTGGGACGTTTATTGTTTAATTTTAATTTGTTAATTTTTTTATTTGAGCTGATTGTAATTCAATTTTAATTTTTTTCCAATTTTTTTATTTTAAGTAGAAGATACGTAATTTTTTATATGTACTCCACTAAAATACAAAATAGACTTGTATTGCTATAAATACTGTGTTTTAAATAAAAGTATTTCAAATACATGCCCAGCTCTGCTGATAGTGTATTGCAATAAAAGTACTCAATGTGCTTCAGGCTAAAACTGTATGTAGTGTAACAATGTGAGAGGCCTGTTTGTCAGAGTGAGATTTCATTTATGCGTTTTCGTCCTACGACAAATTTTTCAGGTTTTTATTGGTTGGTTATAAAATAAAGAGATTCGAGGACCTCTCTTTCCTACGAACACTTGTCATACAACAAGAATACAGAAATGAAATAGCGGCCTAATGTTGTTATTACGACGCGATGAAATACGCGACTAATCATTTCGTGTCATAGAACCACACTTTAAAACAATCTCAGATTTATATCAAAAGAAATTTCACTCGAGCAATTGTGAGTAAAAGCGAATATAATTTGAAAGCTGAACCTGGTAATCGTCTAATCTAAATGGAGAAAGAAATCTAATTCTATACTTACAGAAATAAAGGTTCGAGCTTAGAAATAAATTAAAAAATAGCTTATACAGCCGCCTTAGCAGAGAACGCTATATATGTATATGTATTGTCTTGTAGAAAATTTCGGAAAAACTTTGAGCAATCAAATAAGTAGCTCGCTTGAACGCCTCAAGCGAAAAATTAGAATCGAGTCGGAGTAATTACACGTGAAAGTTGAAAAGTTTCAGAGAGTGATGCAATTCCGGTCACTGCTATTCTCTTCGATGTAAAACAGCCACGTCTCACGAAAGTTTTTCATTCGTTTAATAGAGAGTGATGCCTCGTTTCCGTGTCGTTCGAACCGAAAGAATTTCATCTTCTAATCTGATTCGAAGCTCAACCCAAATCACGCTCCCGCAATACAAATAGCTTTAATTTTTATCGATCACATGAGCAAAAATAACGCGAATTGGCAAACACACTCGCGTGTGTGTTCAATCAGCGAAACAAAGAACTTGATAAATTCACCAGTCTGCTTTTTCATTGAAGATTCGTGTATGATGTATTTAATACGCTTAACAATGCATACCTAATTATCATACAATGAATTGACGTTATTAATCACCTGTGCATTAAATGTATACATTTTTAGCTGCGCGCTATTAATCTCTCTGACACCGATTGTGCTTAATTACAGTTCAAACAAAACAAACTGACGCCACGGTAGGAAAAAGAGAGGGATGGGAAGGAAGAAAGGGAAGAAAAAGGTTCGGATGGAAATGGGGAAACGCAGTTAAAAAGCGCATTTATACATTTTTGTTGAAACTTTAAACTCTGATATATAACTGATGAGGATTACTTTTTAACAAAATATTTCGTAAAATAACTAAACAAGAATTATAAGATATTTATTTGAAATTTCTATCGCAAAAATTCCATATATCGGATAAAATAAAAAAAAAAAAAAAAAAAAGATCTATAATTATTTGGAGCTGGTTTTGAAAATTATTTTTAAGGAAGATATAATTTGAGAACAATACGAGACAATAATTAGCTGGCAAATAATCGACGCACAGTATAGCATCTGTTCTTTTTAACTAAAGTTCCTGCACGGTTCATCTCTTTTCCTTTTCTCTCTATGTTGGAGAAAGGAAAAAAGAGACAAGTTGAACCGTGTAAACAGTTCAGCTAAAAAGAAACATGCCTATTGCTTGAACTGGAAACTGTATAAATTTACAAGAAATATATATTATTAGGCGCAAAAACCTTGAGTGGCAGTTTTCACTCATGCACGTTTAACCTCACCGGTCGATTTTCACTCACAATCAGTATTAAAGAGAGAGAGAGAGAGAGAGCGCAAGATGTATCAAATTTTTCACGCATAATGCCGTAATTGAGCGGAATAAAATCGAGACTCACGCTGGTTCTCCGTTCTGCTCGACGCGGACGATGTTACCGCTGAGCGTCTCGATCTCCTGCGGCCGCTTCACCGTGTGCACCCCCGTTTTCTCCCTCGGCGAGGACACCCCTCTGACCGTGTTCACGCTCACCCCCGTGTCCGTCGACCTCACGCTCCCGATCGAGTCCGTGGACGACTTCAGGGACGCGTCGCTACCGCGATTCACGTTCCTCGTTCGAACGGCCGCGGTATCACCGTTCACTCCTGCGTTCACTGCACCGACCGCGGGACTCATACTGTTACTCTTCGCCACGTTATTCGTCATCGTACTGTTGCTCATCGCCGTCGCGTTGTTCACCGTCCTCGCCTCCTCGGCCGCCTTGACCTTGGAATCGTTTTCCATCACCGTGGGCATCTTGTCGTTGGTTGGAACGTCACGAGTCACGGTCGTCCTGCTGTTCGCGGAAGCGCTCTTGATCTCCGTCGTCGATGCGGTTCTCGATTCTTCCGTAGCCTTTCCGTCGCTCGGCCTGGACCCGCGAGCGTTCTGACTGTTTCTTACGGAACGCTGATTCGCGGAGGACTGATTACTGGAACGCGATTCATCGTTCATTCTGACGGTCTTCGTAGATTGATTAACGCTACCGCTCTTCGAGTGACCTCCGGTGGTGCTACCACCCTCCGCACCACCGACGGGAGAGTCCTTCTTATCGTTACCAGAATTAGCCGCTTGAGTTGCCTTGACCGACTGATTTTCGACGAACGGCGAGGATTTCTGGCTCGTCGACGCCGCTGCGTTCGGTGTCGACGGCGATTCGCTTTTGGACATGGGAGAGGATTTGAGCGCTCCGTCGGACCGTTCCTTCTGCTGATTCGTCGTCGAGCCGTCGTTGCGCTCCACGTGAAGCGTGTTCGCGTCGATGTGCAGTGGTTGCACCGCTGTGGTCGTCGTAGTATTCACCAAACGCTCGCTGGACGTGCCGGTCGCCTGCGAAGTCTGCTTCAGAAGATCTATAAGATCCACGTCGTCCGCATTGGCCGTGGGATTCCCGTTCGATTCATCCTCCTTCGAATTTAATTCACTCGTTAATTGGCTTGCCTGTTTATCGCTCTTGCTTTCTTTCGCGAACCTTTCCGCCTTGCCGGTGCTCTGCTCCCGCATCGAGATGAACCTGCCGGTGCTCGACGTACCGTTCGCCTTGTTCGCCTTCAGAGGAATCTTCGATGGCGAAAGGAGACATTCCTTGCTGGGACTCCTGCTCTGATTGTCCTTTCGAGCGGCGGCGTTGCTCTTCTGCGGCGACGTCGTTCTTCTCGTTGTCTTCGTGGGAGATTGTTTCGTGGCGTCCTTTTCTCTTACGTTCGATCGAGGGGTCGTCTTCTCTGGTTTCGTCGGGGTGCCTTGGATCGGCGAGAGTCGCGTCGTGCCTTTCGTCGGCTGTCGACGCGTCGCCGTCGAATTGTTGTTAACGTTACTAGTGGAATTGGAGATGAAACGGGTCTTCGTCTCGGTCAGATTCGTATGACTCCGGGAATTGGATTTGTTTAAACGCGCCTTCGAGTCGTTCAGCCGCGACTTCGAATCGGCCGCGTTCAATCGATTTCGCGAGTCCGTGGCATTCAGTCGCGTCCTCGAGTCGACGCGGCGACCAATCTTCGGTGACGGCGAACGCTCGTTATCCTTCGTCAGGGAGGTGGACCGCTGACGATAAGTCGGCTGCGGTATTAGACTTCTTCTGGGGCTGTTCTGTTGCGACAACGACACTGCAAGACATAAATGAATGATTACAAGAAGTATCGTTGACCAGATTTTGATGGTAGTAACATTGAGATGAAAGTTTTTAGTTGAGTAAAACGAAATTGTGTATTAAAGATTAAAAGCGATAATATATTCAATGTAATTAATTACAATTAATGCAAGAGTGTGTTTTTCATATAAAAAATTTGATAATTTTTATTAACTCATACAAATTACTCCATTCTACTCTATTTGTGACTATAATTATACATTGCTGTAATTATGATTATTATTACACTATAATTTTATTAATAATACATATATAATTGGCAACCCCCAAAATAACTATAATCACTTTCGGTATTGGATACTTTTGCAGCTTATTATTTCCGATAATAATTCGCTAACTCACCCCTTCGTTCGACTTTACGTCGACGTCCGTCTACGGCGACTTCCGGCGACTGCGGCCTCGACATCGAGCGAGGAGGTGGCCCTTTGAAGCCACGTCCGCGAAAGGGCGAGACCCTCCCGGTCGGCAAGGTGGACGACGCATCGCCAGTTTCTGGACTCGCCGGCCTGGACTCAGCGAGTATCACGAAGCTGGAACGACGATGTGCCCTGCCGAGGGACGTCGACGTCGGGGCGACCTTGTAGGGCTCGGGGGCGCGCGGGGGCGGTGGCGACAGGTACATGTTGTCGGGGACGGCCAGCACCCGGAAGGGCGGTGGGCCCTGCCGCGCGACCTGGCCATCACGATCGCTCCGCCTCATTCTTACCAGGCCCTATCTTTTTCGTTGGAAAATCACGACGTTAGTTCACAACAGTTAATCTGCGCTTGCGTTAATTTTTTAATTCGTCTGTTATATAAAATATTCAGAAACAATTATGACTCCATATTGCCTTAATATTTTAGTAATAACAAAATTTTGCAAAATTGGTAATCTACTAATTCTTACAATTATTGTATCCAATATATATTTATTTAAATTATTTAAATAATATTCAACGAGTACTGTATAATTTATAATTATTAAATTGTAAAATATAATTAGTAAATAATTAATTTTTGTATCCGGATTCCTTTAATATAATATTAATTTAACGTATGCAATAAAATTATTTGTACTTTATTCGATTTCATTAATTAATATATTATTTTATTTAATTAATTTTAACAATTTATATGTTATATTCAGTATGTCTTTTATTTCTATATAATCGAAAAACGAACGTTCGTACCTGGTACCCTTCATGTAGATCGCCAAAGTGAGAGGGACGCCGTGATCCGCCGTTGCTCCCACCTACACAGAATAGAAATCTCTACTGAGAAAGAAAGAGTGCGTGACGGTCGTTAAAAAAATAAGGAGAAATTTTTATTTCGATATAAAAGTCGAGATAGCGTAAGATTGCGGTTCCGCGACCGGCAGACGGAAAAACACACACAATTGCAGAAATGGAAACGTCCTCCATCCCGATCGATATCTTGCGCGCAGCGCGAAAAGTTGAAACAAATTTTACACGTTATACATTTTTCTGCACTTTTTATTTCATCCGTGAATGTCCTTCGTTCATTATTTTCGTTATCAAATTGTTTTCACTCGCCAGTCGATGCATCGGGAAATTATATTAATAATACATAGATCAATACGGCCTCTCGAATTTCCATATAATTACCGTTCCGTCGATGGCGGATTCTTTGCGATTCACTCTATATCTGCGGAAAGTTTGTCGAATCCTCGATTACAGGCGATACTTCTACGAGACGTTCATAGACGATACTTCTTTCTTTGCGGACTCGGAAGAAAGGATCTGACTCGGGTGCAGTTAGCAATTAACGAACGCGCACGTATAATCATTCGTTCTGTGTGGCTTGGCACGTGTCCGAGGGTATCCAGTCAGCGGATACAAGGAGCAACGCTTTATTCACGCTCTCGCAAACGATCGCCTGAGCAAATTCATCACGCTTACTGCTGAGCCACATTCTCGGCGTGGCCGGTGGGTCGCAACGTTCCCGTCTCGTCGCGCAACGCTGCGTCGCCGTGAGTATAATAAAGAGGTGCCGCGCTCCGATAATACTTTCCAAATCTGACGGCTCACCAAATAATTCCACGATCGTCGAAATGTTCTCGACTAAGACGATTCGTAGTCCACGATAACCAGGGCTTTTCATTATCTCGATAAAATTATCTAGATAAATCATCTAGAATGAAGAAATGAATTTATCTTTATCTATAGATTATTAAGAGTATGGATTATCTTCATCTTCTCTTAGATAAAAGTAATGTTATCTTTTTCAAACTATCTAAGATTGTATAAGAGTATTATAAGAAATTAACTTCCAGTGTAGTAGTGATGAGGATTTTTTTCGTTCTATAGACAAAAGACTGAGATCAGTGGGAATAGTCTCATTCTATAGTGATGAATTTCTCTATGTGCGTCATTGAAGTTCAATGTGCAAAATTTCCCGAATAAAAAATATAAAATTCAATGTAACGATTGTACGATGCTTCTTATGTCGGACAAACGGGAAGGCAATTAAGAAGTAGAATTAACGAACATCGAAAGCAAACGAAAATTCCAACTGAGCAAGCGTGAGCAAACGATGAGCAAACGAATGCATGAAGAAAAATATCGATTTTTTAATATTGGGGGGGGGGGCCAGCTTCACACGGGTAATAAAATCTCATTATCAAACCTTTGACAAACGTTCTCCACGTTTATTTTTTTAGATTTTTATATACTTTGGAACAGCAAAAAAATTTGCTTGGTTTCTTGAAAACTCCTAACTATTGCTAACGAAATTAAAATTCATGTTGCCGACAAAGAATTAATTCTACTTCTATAATGTTCGTTTCTATCGATGTAGATTAACTTTAATTTCGGTTTAACTTATTATAATAAACTTAACTTTTTATAATTATCAGAAAAAGACAAAGAGTAAATTATAAATCGAGATTAAAATTAATTTATATTGGCAAAAATGGACATAATTTGACTAAACTTTAACTTGCTTTCCTTTTTTATGCAATAAAAATGACGTATAAATATAATACATTGAAAATATTTTATACTCTGTACGCGATCAGGAAGGAAAGGCACCTGCAGGAACACCCACCAGCCTGCGCTGGATCTCGCGATCCGATAATAATAAGTTCGCGATTTCCATAATTCTTCACATCCGCTTATGCACTGATGCACCGTGCACTCTATGTAATTACCGTCGTATGTCAATAACTGCGCTTGAAGAAGACGGCAGAATAGGAGCCAGAAGTAACACGGATATCTAGGCGCGTACTTTCGCCCATCATGACAGCTTCTAATTGTCTCATTAGAAACAACGAGTTGTCTGCCGTTATCATTACTAAGATTGCGACTTAAGATTTCCATCGTTACGGCGGCTATGCCGTATTTAACGAACGGAAATTTAAAACTGAGAGAAGAGTATAGAAATTTAAGTCGTAATTATGTTTCTCGTTATCAATCGGACACGGTGCCATTTATTCCGTTCATTGTTCAGTAATTATTATAGAAATAATCGTAGAAGCGTGAAATTGTTATACCGTTATTCTTTATGGTTTGCGTTTAATGCCTGCTCTCTAAAAGTGAATCCAGTGTCTTATTACTGACTCACTATATGCACTACACTTATAATTGATGCAAATATGTAATCACATCGGCGAATATTTACTGTTTTCCAGTAATAATACAGCAATTCACTGTTAGAGATTACGATTTTCTACATATAATTTTCAATAAAAATGAATTAGTGTATTATTACTGAAAAGCAGTAAATATTCGCTGATGATTTCGTCAGTTATAAGTGACTGATTCATTTTAGAGAGTTTTTGAAAGACGGAAATTGATTTTATCACGTTGCGATATGAAAAACTTTCGCTCAATTAAGCCTCGCTTCTTTATTTAATAACGCATTAAGCGCCGAGCACGGCCAATTCCAAGTCCTTGTTACCTAATGTAAGAATTTGTATACTTCACGGCGTTGCATCGGCGGGAAATGAAAATTAAGCACAGTTGCACTCTGCGTTAAATGTACGAAGAGATCAGAGGTCAACATAGCTCATTTCGTGCCTTTAATTTATTCTGCGCGACAGGTTGCATATTTGTAAATTCATATTGCATGTGTGCGCACTATTATCATTTAATCCACACTGATTATCTCATTCATAGATATAGGCAGGTTCGTATACTTCCGGTATAGATACCCAACGTAAGGCGTTTATTTTACTCAACTCAATAAAATTTGTAACATATTTTCTTGTCATATATTTTCTAAAGTATTATTATATATTTTATTAATATTTCATTAATATATTATTATACATTTTTATTAATATTTTCTATTGCCGCTTATAATTTCACTTCTCAAAAGAACCTCCGATCCGCAAAATTTCACGACGGCAGTCATGTAATGTACTATATACCGTGTACATTTACGAAACTTGCTCTTCTGATATCGCTTATCATGCAACATTTACTTTCATTTCGTTATCCGAATAACATACCTACAATATGCAAAACGTAAAGCCGACCTATAAAGTTTGTTTGAATACCGTACTTCTCTACGTAACGCGCAAATTTGACCTTTAGTCACTGTTTGAATACCCTAATCGATCACGAGGCCGACGCTTAAATTTAAATAAGAACATCGCGCGTGTAGAAGTGACCACCGCCGCGATCTCGAGCGTGAATTACGAGGCATGTAAAACAAGTTATATCCGAATACCCAATCGTGCTATCAATCGCGATTGCGAGCGCAGTAAGACTTCCGTGTTATACGAATATATTCGAAAATTGCGAATATATCCGTTACGATTGAATGAAAGTCTCAAGAGGAAATTCAGATTCGAATCCTGACTGAGGAAATATTTTTCACAATAAATTATTGACAGACTTAAGATTCTCATCAACGTTAAATTATTAATGTTCCTATAAAGATGCTCGTTGGCACAAAAAATTATTAAATTGCTTGTCAATTTAATAAGTTTTATATTACGACTATGGTTCTGTTCGTAATTTTGATCGAGAATAACATAGAAATATTTAAACATTAAGATCCGCTTTGACGAATATAAGATTTCTATTATTTAATTTGATTTATTCTAATCAATTCAAATTCATATCATAATTGTATAAAAATCTCAAATATTTTATAAAGCAAAATGTTTTATAAAATCTACAAAAATTATTATTATGCGAAATATGCATAGGCCTAAAAATAATGCAGAATAGAAAGGCCATTTTCACAGGATAATTTATGTTTGAATGTGCCAAAATCATATCAAGCAACTGCAGAAATTATAATTCATATCTCGAAAAAATTTTTTTAATTATTCTTAAAGTATAAAAAAAAAGTTATTAAATTATTCTACAATTTGTTTGGTGATCGATGACATTCATTTATTCGAAGTTTTGCTTGTAAATATTATGATCTAAATATTTTATGACAAATTAATATACATTTGAATTTAGAAGTTTACAATTTCAATATACTGCAGCAATCAATCATGCTCTGGTCGTTTCCACGAAGAAATGAGTTCCGGAATAGAGAATATACTATAATTCTATCCTGACAACTTTACTTCCGCAATACAGCAGGAAAGCTTTTCTTCTCACGTTCTAGTGACCAGTATAAAGCGTAAACAGTTCGTCATGACGAAACTGCGGGCGACAGCCGTCAATTTGCTGTGACAAAGTCGAGGAAGAGGCACGCCGAGCTCGAGTCCTTAATTAGTATATCCATCGCGTAACACTTAATTAAATTGTCCGCCGATGCTTCGCTTTCCAGACAGGCAGCGGCCAAGAATGTTACCGTTGTTGCAATCGCGTGTATCATGCAGTTAACTGATCGGTGAATCGGCTAATGCCGCCCGAAGGAGAATACAGATCGCGGCGTATCCTGGAGGGTCACCGACCTCGTTTACATCTGCGTTTAGCAATCAGGAGGTTCCGTACAGCGGGACATTTGCGTAACAATCGATTCTTCCGTGAAACGCTTTGATCGTTGGATGCAAAAACGGCTGAAATGATTCCTTCAACCATTAAATATTCTTAAATATCTTTCACAATCATAAATTAAGAGAAACATACTTTTATTTATTATATTACAATCTGCGCAAAAACATTGATTTTCTTTCTTAGATGTTTTTTTTTTTTTTTTTTTTATAATTAGAAATGATTCCTACTTTTTTTTAGGTTTAAGTGTTTAAGATAGCAAATGTTATCTTCTTAAAATTTTTTTAATTTTGTGTATTTTTACATCCAAAAAAGAATATTCTGTCGTTTAGCGGTTCCGTGTTAATGTCACAGGATTTTCCATTTATATATGACCGAGGATACTCTCCAAAGTATTGTAGATGAATTTCGTATAATCATGACATTAAGATTGCAATCCTCTTGATAATAGAAGAATCTCCTCTTCTTGTACATCTAATATTATTCTTATTTAGATCATTTTTAACGATACTTTAAGAGTAATATTTTCTACTTTCAGTCTTACTGATTGTAATTGTAAGACACTAATAAACTTCAACATGCTAAACATGCAAACACGCATCTATAATATTTAGGAAAATGGGAACCTAGGGAGGGGGGGGGGCGCAAAGATAGCTAGTTACGGCACTGAAGAAATGCTAAGAGGAATTCCCCGCTTATCGGTAGAATAATTTTTTTTTGGTGTATTTGTGATTTATTATTAATTGTTAGATTTATTTATTTTATAAAAACATATTAAAAGTATTCCACCGAAGTATGAATTATAATTTTTGATCCTTTCCTTTGCTGTATTTTATCTCTTCACAAACTTAAATTATCTTGTAAAAATCTCCTTTCTTCTATTGTGTAACATTATTTTGACACCTATAGGTATGTCTACTCCACTTCTATACTAAATTAAAGTTTTTCTCGCAAAACGGGTACCGATCGTATACGTTCTTGGATCTAATGAGCTCCTGTTGTCGCAATGTCGTAACGACAATGCAACATGTAGCCTTCGTTTCGAAATAGGGAAATTTCTGACGATCTGGAGCCTCGTTCACGCACCGTCCGCACCAGAAACGATATACCTTTGCTGTTCAATAATTAATACAAGGCCGTAATGACCGTTTACTTGAAATAATCGGGTATTACGCGAACGTTACACACCGCGTCCGGAACTTCCTCGCTCTATATATTCCGGCGTACCGGTTTTTCGACCGCGTCTTCTGCGAGAGCGATTTCTCGCGTGAAACCCTCGACAATAAACACGTATAATGCATGCACGTGTTAGATAACTCACGGAGTTGCGCAAATCCATCGCTCGTGCGATTTTCGAAAGCGCCGCTCCCAGTTCCCACCCTCGATCTCGGGGATTATGATTCAGGGAGCGTGACTAGTGATATAGGAATAATGAGCTTGAATAAAGATATTTTTCAAAACGTTAAAGAAGAACTGTACATATAAGTTCGAAGCAATTAATGCGCAAAATCTTCAATATACATAAAATTGCCTTTAATTAAATTTCATAATAATTATTCATGATAATTTAATGAAAACCAATGAAAACATGCCGTAACGGTCAAGTTGGATCTCGGTAGGGTCCTATAGATTTATCAAAGAAGCGTGATCGGTGTTAAGTGGTTCTAATTAGTGTTCTAATTGGCAGCCAATTATGACATTCATGCATTCATTCATTCATTAAAAACGGCTGACTAATAGGACTGGCAGATTTCATATAAAGGTGCCATGGTGTACCATGGGTCATTTCTAAATATTTCTTTTTCGATTTTTATTTAAAAAACAAATTATTTTGTTTTTGAAAAATGATACATTATCCCTTAATTATAATAAGTATATTTAAAAAATTGAGACCAAAAATCTTACATTTTAATGCATTCTTTACTATTTGAATTTTTGTGACTCATGGTGTCCCGGTCTCGCCTACTACAAATGTAGATTTTTAATTGAGTACCAAATTTTTCAGACTTGAAACGTAAGCTTTACTAAACTACTGCAGTAATATCGCGAGTTGATTAATTTAACAATTTTTGGTGGTCTTCGCACATCTCAGACTTTAATAATATTTAACGATATATTAAAATCTGTAAATAATTAATTTTTCATTGTGAAAAATATTACCTCGAACTTGGAAGTCGAACCTGGATCTCATTTCGTGCGAGTGTCCTATAAGTCTTTAAACTACCGAATATTTCGACTTTATTTTAAATCATCGTCAATTTTTAGAGTTTACAAATAAAAAAGCGCGGATTATCTCACACGTTCTTAGAAAAACCAGAGAGCCCTCTTTCATTGCCAGTGTTATCTTGTAGAAATTGATATCGGTCCAAAAATCACTTTCTTTTTAGAGACCATAATGGAGAATGTGACTCGTGAAA